GTTTTATTCTTGTCGGCTGACCTACGCGTGGAAACCGAGCTTTCAGAGAAACCGGAAAGGAACCTTCTACCTTTGTTTTCAGAGGTAATCCGATAAAAGAATAAAACGTCGAGATCATGTTCAAGCGCTATAGGGTACCGTTTGGCTTATTCGTTCACTTAGCCCCCTTCCTTCTTATCGGACGTTTCTAACGACATCATTTTACGAAACGAAATGCGATTAATCGGTACAAGCCACTCGGTTCTCTCAATGGAATAATTCGGCGAGAAAAAGGTACGGAAAGTTGACGCTAACATTGATACGCTATCTTGTACACGTGACTTTTTACAGGTTTCAAGAACGTAGCTTTGATGGTGTACGTGTATCATTAAACTGAACAGTACGTTTCACGTATTCATCGTGGTCGCGTGCCGGATCGAAGTCCACGTGAGGCAAATAGCGAAAGTTCTGCTAAATGTGACTTAACTTCATTCGTAATTGTTAAGAAGGAAAACATTCGAAGGCTCTGTATTGTCAACAAAATAAAGATGTGCGTGCATCAAGTATAAGAAATGTACCTTTAAACTACTCTATGTTACAGAGTCGAATGCAGATCCAATTTTTCATATTACGAGTAAGCGTTCCTCTATTTATACGCTCACCGTTGTAGGTGTCGAGGTTTACGAAAAACGCGTTGCGAAGAACAAAAGGAACGCCAGCTGAAAAACAGTTTCTTCGACATACAGTTCAACTACTTTTAGATCAAACTTTGAGTCGTTCTAATTTTTATACCCTGTAACCTTTCGCTTTCCAGAATTTCGACTGTTTTAATTTCGAGTCCGAGTTCCAGCAAAATCATCGACTTCGCTTTAAAACGAGTTCGCCATCGGCGTTGCATGCACTGTCGATTACGAGTTAATATTTGTTTAGAAAAAAACTAGACGATAAAAACAAGAGAAAATTAGTAAATATCGGCTGTGCTAATACTTGTGATCGGCTATGTCAATGTGACGTATCCACATAAATTTAGATTGAATTTTATGCAACGAAACAAACGAGTACAGCTACAAATAATCGACGTGTTTGGTGGTTAAAACGAAAAATTCCCAACGATTAACGTTCACGATCGAAGCCTATCGTATCGTTAAATGTATCGTGCAATCGTGCGTGATGAACGTTTTGTCCTAATCTACCGTAGCAGCGATCGTGTTAACATCGATTGAGCGATCAGTAGGCGGAAAAGTGGTGCTAATGCGTAAAGCGTATCATTTGGCAAATGTATAAACACGCTTGGAGATGTCAGAAACTGTCAGAAGATGGACGATAGTGGGCCACCGTAGATAGTTGGGAAAAGCGGTGTATACGGTGCTTTATTTTACGAGCTGCACTTATTTCGGGTCCCGCGGGGAACTGACTGTACAAAATGAGCAAACGTACACGGTGGACTTGTGCACTGACCCACATTGTCGTTGCATAACGGGACGTCTTTCGAAATATTCGCAAGTTTAGTGCTTTTGGTCTCGTCCACCGACGACAGGAACGCTCGTAAATGGAACCCCCGCAGTCACCGAGAGACACAAACGCAACTGACGCTTACCACGCGCGTGAAAGCATCGTTTCTCCGATTGTCGAATTCACGATCCCTCTTGTTCCAACCGACGAAAATTATCTTAACGATGCTTGGCCGGTATAATATTATATATATATATATATAACAATAATGGTTATTATAGTAAAAGAGGTAGACACGTTGAACGCGTTTAATCATTCGGAGAATTTGATCTAACAAGTAACATTTAACAAGTACGTTCTATCGACGTAGGAAATTGGTACAAGTGATATTTGACGGTAATTTCACGATAATCCTTAATTTTAGGACGTTTACGTTCGCAAATATTGGAACAGCTTTACGATAGAGCATCGCGATAAGCTGAAATCTCCTTTAACGTGGATCCTGGAATAAAGAAAAAGATTCGCAACAAAACTACTCGATGGAAACGTCACCTAATAAACGATCTCGTAAACGTCGGACCGCGAATGTCGGCGGCGTTGAATTGGTCTGACGCGCGTAGAAACGACACGATCGCTTCGCAACCCCAGAACAAAAACGGCACCACGATCGTCGAAATAAAATACTTTTTATGACAGTCGCCGCCGCTCCGAATCCCTAACACCATTGGCGTAAAACTCGGGCGTGACAATTGCCACGAATATCCGCAGCTCCTTGAAGAAATTCTTTTCGATATATAGACGCAGCGCCCTCTCAACGATACAAACGCTTGAACAATTGAATCGACCGACTGACGAAGCTTATGAGGCAGCAGAATTTCGAAATTTCATCGGATCCCTTTAATCGATCCATCACTCGACGGACTAAGCTCGAATTTCTACGGATTAGGTTCTACGCGGATGAGTTCGACGCGGATCGAGCGACGTAGAAGGGGCCGGCTACCAAAGGCGACGAAGGATACTATTTTTGAAACTACGAAGAACGATTCTCACAAAAGGAAGGAACGAGTTAATTTCGCTACCGTGAGGACAAACATTTTTCTAAAAAAAAAAAAAAAAAAAAAAATAAAAAAAAATAGCAGAAACACGCTCTTAGGCAAAATACAAGATATACACGGTTTTGTAAAAAACGGAGGGAGAAAGGTCCGACGAAGGACGAACGTTGAATTGGCAGTAAATCGGGTGCAGTTTTAATTGACAGGAATGTTTAGCGGTAATGAACGCAAGGTGGAAGGAGTCGGAATAAATTGAAGATAGGAAGAGGACAGCTGGTACGATGGCAACGGGAACGAGAACGGCAACGGCAACGGCAACGGCGACCGACAATGTTAGTGGCAGTGGTGACGGTGGCGGTGGCGGCAACGGCAGCAACGACGGCAGCTACGACGGCAGCATCGGTAGCAGGAACGGCAGAAGAAGAACAGCGCAGCGCCAGGACCGCGACTAGATAGAGACACAGCGGCAGGAGCATAAACATCCCGGTGGCGGCAGTGGTGGTGGCGGC